ATCCTATTATATTACCTGCAAATATAAAGAATTTCAAAGCACCAACATAAATTTAGTTTGTTTCTCTTGTCTAAAAGAGAAAGGAGAATAGGATGCAGACCCAACAACAACAAAAAAAAACACCTTCTTTGCAGTCTCTTCCTTTTCATTTCCTCAGAAACTGCACACGGCTTTGTTTCACTAAAAAAAGTTGAGTCCCTCGAGACTCTCTCAGCATGTCTCTCAGCAAAGCAAGACTGCATATAATGAATTGGATGTGCTGGCAGAGACAGAGGCGGGTACAGAGCTCCACATCAGAGAGGACAGCTCCTGCAGAATACCTGCACTACGCCTCAGCGCCTCCTGCCTCCTCCAGAGACGACATCCTCTCTAACAACCAGCCACCTAAAACAGATCCCCGAAAATACCACGCTTTCACTCTTCACCGTATAATAATGCTGGCAGCTGCAAAACAATAACAATTCTCCTGCCAACATAAATTTTGGATCAAGTTCGCAAACCCAAATGTTTTTATACTGCGTGGCTTACCATGAACTGAACTTTCCACAAATTGTTGCTAATTTGGAGTTGGCAGTCACGAACAGCAACGTTTGAAGCTAGAATACTGTAGCTGCTATAAATATAAGGCTGATACAAAAATCTGACATTTTATGGATTCAATAACAGCTATTTTTGACACCATTGAAGCGTCTTTCCATTCCGATAATCCACTGTTAATATTCATGGCTCGACTAAATGGAGTTACGCAAGACTGTAAAACTCATCCAACACCCTGCTGCCACTAAAGCTGATTTACACTGCCCTGAGCCCTCATCTGCATATCGTTAAGCGTCATAATCATTCCCCTTGACGAGTAGGCGGAGACGGCCACCTCAGGACATGTGACCTCAGTCGGTGCAAGGGTTTATGGGAGCAAAGTGGAGCAGGACAGTGAGCTCACTGCTCACATTACAACTCCCATAAAACACCCTCAATATTTCACAAACTCATGGATTGTGTATGCAATAAATAATGAAACACGATAAAGAAAAATGTTCCAGTGATCTTTATTTCACCTTAACTATAAGCTGCCCAAAAGAAAAGGTTGTTAAAACTGTTTTATTCTCTTCAGAAAGGACAAATCTCTGCCTCTGGGTCTGGCAGGAACCCGGCACTAGTGCAGTGTCAGTTTGGTGTTACTGTGGGCAAAAACAAAGGACACTGGTGGAAGAAAGCCGTGAAAGGAAGCTGTCGAGAGTCTTACAGGAGGACACAGCCACCACTGAACAGCGCTTGCTTTGTGTTTCTCCAGATATCTCAGTCAGAGACGACCAATGCTACAGTGTTCAGGGGGAAATGCACCTCAGAGGTCCAGTCCAGTAAAAGAGACTCAAAATCTATCTATCTATCTATCTATCTATCTATCTATCTATCTATCTATCTATCTATCTATCTATCTATCTATCTATCTATCTATCTATCTATCTATCTATATATCCATCTATCCATCCATCTATCCATCTATCTATCTATCATACAAGTGCAGTGATAATGAATACATCTCTGCCTGATTAGAGGAACACCACTGGCCCATTCTGCCTCAGTCCTGTGGTAAATTGGAGAACAGAGGACTTTTAGATTCTAACCCCCGCAATGTCATACCCTTCACGTGTCCCCTATGACAGACGGCCCATAAAACCCTTTCAATAAGTTGTAAAATGGAAATGGTGCCTCCTATCTTCAATGGGGAAATGGAGCCATGAACGTGAGATTTTTTCAAAATCTTCATGGGAAAATGGAGGCAATGTGCTTGAGTATTTCACTCTAATAATAATACTACACATATCCATAAGCATAAATATATTACACACTATCATTCAACGGGTTTGGTTTGGTAAGATTTGTTAATGTTTTAGAAGTAGTCTCTTATGCTCACCAAGGCTTTAATTTATTATATCATGGCCTTGTTTTTAGTTTGTTACTCCTCATAACTGTGATTAGAATTTATTCCCAAATGCCTGAACAAACTGGATTTCAGTGCAGCCAATTTCAGGTGAGGTGGGAATAAACACAAGCACCCGCCACACACGTGAGCATAATGACAAACAATGCAGCTATTTGCAGACAAGCAGAGCAAAACAGTATTTTACCATGCTAGGGCAAACAAAGCCACCACATGCAGTACACATGTGAATAAACCATGACCGGTTCCCATATAAACATCAGCAGTACAATCTCAAAGTGCCCGCTGGACTGAAATATGCTGCTTATAGATTAGAGATCAGTACCTCTGTTTTATTGTCTTATCTTTACGCCACACATGCTGTTGAATTGTAATTTGATATCTGGGTAGATCATATCGTTTGGTGTCTCTGACCAAATGGACTGCATTTTAATTAACTTTTTAAATAAAAAAATTATATTGATTTTTGTCTCTATCGTCCATGAGCGGGTTCAAACTGAGTTCTGAAATGATTTAACAGAGATAAAAATCCCCGATTACGAGGACGTCGGATGAGATAATGAGCAAATGAAATGACCACCCCTGCACTGAAAGAACGCAGTCTGCACAGGACATCTAACTGTGCACCCAACTGAATAGTTCAAAGGTTTAGATAAGGGCTTTATGCTAGGGTTTAGATAAGGGCTAATACTAACTTTAGAATGTTCCTTCAAAGTAGAAGTTCATATAAATGAGAAATTAATCACAAAAATGTACGCTTACCCGTAACAGAGCTGTCCAAGTTGTCCATGCTGGAGCCTGGCGTGTGTTCGATACCCCTAATTGGCGGAGACATCTCATATCCTTCGTCCTCCTCATCGTCATCTTCGTCAGGAAGGTCTGTCTCAATATCAGACACTAGGGTGCTGGAGATATAACCCACGGGCGGTGCAGGGGCCAGGGGCGGGTAAGGCCCACCCTGCATGTGCCTAAGGAGAATTCAAGAAGTCAAACAAGAACATACCATGCTTTTTTGCATAACCAAGCAAGAGCTTCAAGGGTTGTCAGAAGGAGACAAAGGGTGTCAATGAGTGACAAACCTAAACAAAAGAGAAATGCGTGGGGTGTGCTGTCTGTCAGGTGAAATTTGGTAGTCCTAGAACATTCCTTGTCATCTCTCCGATGAATTGGGACAATTCGGCTAATTCAGCAGCGCCACGGTTTGCATGCTAACACAATGACCTACTAATTGCAGCTTGAAGAGGATACAATGGCAACCACCACAGGCATGTCTTTGCTGCGGCTGTCACCCACTAGACAGCTAGGTTCGATGACAGCCCTACTGTGTGTCTATATATGTGTATCGATGTGTGTTTGTGCAGTGCTGCTGCTGCTTTGATGCGGTCTGTGCCAGGATTTGTATATAATTATGGGCTCGTCCCAGTCGTCACAAATGTTCTATGAGCAACATACTCATTATGGTGGTAACATGACATCTTCCTCCTGACAAGTAGAGGCTGTTTCCTCACAGTGCCGACTGTAATAAACGGAAGTTGGTTTCTCTTGGAAAGACAGGATGAAGCATTGCTTTGGCATAGGGGCTTTATAAGAATGCGTTACGCAGTCTGGGAGAAATGACTATCAGTTGTTTTCATATTTAATTCAGCTACATCCACCTTTTTCATTTAAATCAGGCTTCTATTGACAATGACAAACAAATGTGGTGCAATAATAAACAGATATTTTTTTATTCAGTTTAATTCAGTTTGTGCGGGTAAAAAGGAAGCCCAGTTAGATTAAGTAAAAGAAAAGAAAAAAACAGCTCTTTGAATCTTCAATGTTAAATAGTCATTTTTATATTTTACAATTGCATTTAGTGCCTCTAGTGAAGAGGTGCTCAAACTTTTTACTACAAAGGGCCAAAAAGCTAACTTGGAATGTAAGTGTTGCATTATACCCAAGTATATTAAACTGTACATTTTTAAAATCAAATTCACTTATATTATCCAGTGTATCGAGATCTTACCAAGTCTGTTTAGCCATGTCCAATTGGTAAGCACGGGTTAGCTCATCTAAGTGGGCTTGGAGCATGGGCTGTATTTCTTCACGTGGGGATGGGCTCAGTGTGGCTGTGGACTGCTTGCCAAAGGAAACTGCTGCAGGGGAGGAGGCCACACCCCTTATGGGAGGAGTGGGTACCCGTTCTTCCTCTTCCTCCAGCTCATCCTCTAAACCCTGATGGAGGTACGTCTGCACGGGCAAGGGTGGGCCCCAACCATCACTATCATATCTGAAACAAATGAGCATAGAAACAAAATGAAAACAGACCACAAACAGGTCCCTGTGGCACCCCACGAACAGTTGTGTGTTAGGCAAGAGAGAAAGGAATACTGTTTTTTACATTTTTTTAGAAATGTTAGTCTAGCCAACAGTTATTGATATAGTGAGACTAAGGTTTAGCAACATAGTGGTAATGATGTAAATCTTGGGTTAAATCTAGTGGGATTTTCTCAGCTTTACTTGTTCTTTAATGCAGGCTGATCTGGCAGAGTGGCTGCGTTTTCTTATTTCCCAGAACTGTGCTTATACATGCTGAAATAATACATGACATAAAGCCAACGTTCATTAGAGGAATTTGTCAGTGCACATCCCGTAGGACATAACAGTTTTAATCTGAAGCCATTAAAGACAGTAGCGAGATTTACTGCGGAAAGACTACTAATTTGCCAGAGAGCCTATTAAGCCCGATGACTCTCCGAGATGGAAATTAACAGGGTTGAAAGGCAAGCACACCTCTCCGGCAGGGTATTTAATTTGTATCACCACCTTCATGTTTTCTTTTAACTGTACAGATGGGGCGATGCTGATGTCAGACAAGAGTGGAGTGCCATCGTAGGTGAAAGTATATTAAAAGTTGCTGAGCATGAACAGTTGTCAAACAGGGTTTTAATATTACATCTCGTCTATTTATAATGGACAACAAATAAATCATTCAGTGCTAGTGGTTTGATTAACTCTCTAAGGAATAAATAAATACCATTAGCAGATTTATTGATATTATATTAGCTAGCAAGAACAAGACTTTGAACAATTTCTTACAAACATCATGGTCGGTTTTATTTTAAACCACCATTTTTATCACTTGATGGGAAAAATCCAATGCTTAATTACATGGATCATAATCTCTAGATATTATAGATGTGACCATTGAATTAGCAGTATAGAGTGTCTCTATTACTTGTACTAGGTAGAGCTGAATGAGTGACTCTGAACCCTACCCTCCTCCGTCATGGTGCTCTGAGGCATAGTGGTCCATCTCTGTGCCTGGAAGAGGGTGGATAGGAGGGGGAGGGAGTGGAACATTAGCCCAGTTGGAGCCATTCATCTTGGTGGGCTTGGCGTTTGTTTTGGTCTTCTTCTTCTTTCCGCCTTTCCCACCTACAATAGCAAAAGTTGGGAATATTTTGTTAAAGTCTGAATGCAGAATGATGCCATGTGATTAGCCAATTTCCATGTTTTCACCTTAAAAAGAAAATCGATTTATTCCCCACATGACATGTGCTTGAAATTCTCTATGCTAAGTGAAGGCACTTGCAATGCCACTGTCAAACACAATTGCTTAATTGTATGTTAGAATGTACAACTCCAACTGCTTTCAAAATGTTCCCAAGCCAATACGGCCATAAAAGCAATCTCAAGGCTGCGTGGTGAAAGAAACAGTTTGCAGCATGTCAATGGCTCAAAGACTGAAGACTAAAAAAATACTGAAAAAACCTTTGACCTCCTTTTAACTATGATTGCTATTCATGCAACTTGCTGGAATAACTTTGCTTACAACTCTGGTTCTACTCTATGAATGTGCACTTTTCTTTACTCTTAGAAAAAGTATTGGGAAAGAAACAGAACGTGTCAAAGATGGAAAGAAAAAAGGCTGTTGAACTCCCTTTGCTTTGTTGAACTTGTATGTTGCATCCACAATCTCCCTGGACAAAAGATTTGGCAAATCACACACTTGCCCAAGAACTAGTACGGAGGATAGTAATTAATCAGCCTTCTGTCACAATCTAATTAACAAAACCATCTAAATGTAATGGCCATCAATGCCAGATGAAGACATTTGGGACGAGGAAGTCTTCATGCAGACTTCATGCAGAGGCTGCAGGGTTCATTACTGTAAATTATTAATGCCGCTGCTGGCAAACTCGACATGACCAGTGAGTTGCCGCATGTTGCCAGATCCTCCCGCATTTCAAGGCTGATCGAGTCAGACACACGGCCAAATGCAAATGGGGGGGGAAACCTTCACTGGCAGCACTTGTGCTGTATGGGATCCTATCTGTCATCATCTGCCTCTGTCTGCCAATGGCCTCTAATTATCCCTGCCGCCTCAAAATGTTCCGATTCAGGCAACCCTGTGGCTTCAAACATCATGTTATTTAATATGATGCCAGGACTTTGACAGGGCTATACATTAAGTCCAAAAAACTCTTTATAAAATCCATGTTGAATCACATTCAAGGGCTATGAAAAGACTATCTTCCCTGGATCTTAAAGGAATATTCCACCCAAAAATGAAAACGATCATGTTGTTCCAAAACGATACCACTTTCGTTCCTCTGTGAAAACCAAATAAAGAAATTTGAAGAATTGTGCTGTTCAGTGAGTTGAATTAAAGACTGAGGCTGTCACGCTTTAAAAAAAAAAAGATGCAAATGCAACATAAAAGTGGTCCCTATGAATTGTACTTTATGATTTTATAATAATTTAGTGATAATAAATAACTAGTTCTTCTTGGAGCATTTAGAAAGTTTATGAGACACGCTCTTTTGAATCTTTTCAAACAACTGGTGTTTTAAGTTCACAGAACCCAGTTCAGACCAGCATTTGTGAACTGGTTCAACCAAATGATTAATAATTGGTACAGTACATAAAACCATGCCTAACTAAATTGCTCACAAAATGGACTGATTTGGCTTTTGAGTTCAGTCAGTGTTGTTACTGTTAACTAAAATTTTAAATATTATTATAATTGTTTTTATTAATTGAAGCTAATATAAATATTAAATGAAAATAATAATCTGAATAGAAAAAAATAAATATAAAAGCAAAGATAAAAAAATAAAAGAACAAAAACACTAAAACTAATATTATATAAATAATACTAAAACAAAATATTGTTTGCTGAATAAATGTGTGTTCCTCATAAGCTATCATATGGCTTCAGAAAACTTGAAATAGTGTCATATGGACCACTTTTATGATGTTTTGTTGGTCCTTTGCTTAAAAACTCAGTTTACATTCATTGTACAGTACATAGAGAGCAAACAGAAAGGGAAAGCCAGTACAATGATTAAAAAACAATTGTGTGTCAAAATGAAGAATTCACACAGGTTTGGAACAACATGAAAGTAATTTTTGAGTGCACTGTTCCTTTAAAGTTCCCATTTTGTCAAAACTGAAATTTCCTGTCTTTTTTCAGGATAACTGAGGTCTAGGGGCTATTTAACTACCATATAAGTTTCAAAACAGTCAGTCCACAAAAAAATAAAAGAACAAAAACACTAAAACTAATATTATATAAATAATACTAAAACAAAATATTGTTTGCTGAATAAATGTGTGTTCCTCATAAGCTATCATATGGCTTCAGAAAACTTGAAATAGAGTCATATGGACCACTTTTATGATGTTTTGTTGGTCCTTTGCTTAAAAACTCAGTTTACATTCATTGTACAGTACATAGAGAGCAAACAGAAAGGGAAAGCCAGTACAATGATTAAAAAACAATTGTGTGTCAAAATGAAGAATTCACACAGGTTTGGAACAACATGAAAGTAATTTTTGAGTGCACTGTTCCTTTAAAGTTCCCATTTTGTCAAAACTGAAATTTCCTGTCTTTTTTCACAACCCCCAGACAACAACACGGAAACATGTCGAAAAGGTTAACTATAACCACGAAACCAGATCGGCCAACCTGTAACGTTACACTCTCACTCAAAGGATGGACGATCTGACAGGATTGTTACTATGAGGTGGATCACATCTAACGTGTAAAGTAAAGACAAACTCACCGTGTCTATCTAGTCATGATGAAGATGTATATACATTTCAATTTCAGCAGGAAACTATTTTTACAGCTACATTATTGTTCCAGCCACAATTAATCACAACAATGTATATT